GGGGGGGGGGTGTTAATTGTTTCACCTGTGGTTTAGGGTCTTTTGTATTTTGGAACGTGAACATCGGCGTGTGAAATTAGCATTTTTTTAAACTGGGAAAACAAAGAGTTCTGGAAGCGAATAAAACAAAGGGAAAAAAAACGTGAAAAAGGAGGGCAGTCGGAGACAAAAGAGAAACATTGATTAATTGCTGATAACAAGAATTAGGGCGAAATTATCAGGTCATTATGGCAACCGAAAAACACAAATATTTGTCCACTGTAACTAGTCATTAGGCTTAGTGGAACTTCTTTAGAAAACTAGAAACTCGGCCACACCTGTATTACTATTGCCTACAGGGGGGAAAAACCTTTGATGTTTTAGCCCAGCACAATCGCAGGTCTCCAATCTTAATTCGGGACGGCTCCGACTCTGTTGCTGTTCACCTACCCGTGGGCAAACCAATTCTGGTCCAGGTCACTGATCATTCACATGTTTTCAATCATTGAGTCTTTCATTCGGGACCAGGACTTGCTTTTTAAAGCTTTCGTCAAAACACAACAGTGACCCAAATTCCGACTGAATTAAGCTTATCCGATCCGCCGCGAGCGCGGGAAAAAAAGTTCGCTGGTTCGGTCTGCTCGCGATCTCTCTGTCTCTCTGTCTGTCTGTCTGTCTCCCTTCTCTCTGACTCACTCCCTCACTCTTTCTCTCTGTGTCTGTCGGTCTTTCTTTCTTTCTCCTCTTTCAATCTTTCTCAATCTCTGTCTGTCTCTCTGTCTGTCTCTGTCTGTCTGTCTGTCTGTCTGTCTGTCTGTCTGTCTGTCTGTCTGAATATCTCTCTCTTTCTCTCTCTCTTTCTCTCTCTCTCTCTCTCTCTCTCTCTCTCTCTCTCTCATAACTTTAAAAAACGCCAATAAAAGCTATCTGAATTCCGTAAATTTCAGAATTCAAGAATAGGCTGCTCTGTACATTGGCTCCTCTTAGTCATCACGCTAGCTGGCTACCTGACTAACAAAGGCGCAAAGGCGCGTATATACAGTCGTGGGTGTGCGAAAGGGCGAGAGTTTTTGGGGGGGAAAAAAAAATATACGAGCTTACTCGATCGAGGCGGTCAGCTTAAGCTTAGTCAGAGCGTATCACATAAGATGTTTTGTTAAGCCCCCGCCTCGCTCTCGATCCGTCAGCGCGCGCTCTTCGGCTTATCTTTGCGATGGATGGATGGACGGACGTACGGGGGAGGAAAATTCTCAGGGCTTGAGAATGTCACAACTTTGTGACTATAGCAGCAGTTCCGTGTGTAAAAACGCGCGGATTTTTTTTTTCGAGCGATGATATATGTTTTGTTGTTGTTGTTTTTTGGGGGGGGGTGGAGACAAAAAAGGTGGGA